TCTTCTTTTGCTTTATATAAAAAATAGTCCATCAGGCAATAGATTTAAAGTACTTATGTGTCAAGGACTGTGCTACGTGCTTGTGATACAAAGAAAGGCAAAAACAGCTTTTGCCCTCCAGAAGCTTATATTTTAAAGGAGATGAAAATAAGTCAGAAACTTGGCATATCAGACATACATGTTGCTGCTCAGTTGATGTTCATGCCCCCGTGGACCACAGCATGCCAGGCCCTTCTATCTCCCACTATGTCCCAGATCTCCAGGACTGATAAAGGTGATCTGAAATGGAAAGATATTGACAGTGGAGAAACAGTGGAGGAGTCTGGGAAAGGCCCCCAAATTTAGTCATTTCTGTCAGAGGCATCATCATCCTTTCAGTCTCCTGGGTTCAGATTTTACTCTTATCTACAACTCTTCACTGTTCCTGATCTTACATATCCAATCAAGCACCGTATCTTGCTGTTTCTACCTCCACAATCCCTCTGACATCCAATTTCTTCCTTCCATTCACATAGCCACCACCTTAATTCAAGTCCTGATTTCCTCTAGATTATTATTACAGATTCCTAATTAGTCTCCTTGTCTTAGATCTCTAACCATCCCATTTCATCCTAAACAGTACTGCCAAATAATTTCCCACATATCTGATATGTGACTCCACTATTAAATCAACTCTGGTGGCTTGCATTTGCCTCTAAGATAAAATACACAGTCCTCTGTATATTTAACTTTTAAAACCCTCCAAGCTATCTTTCTATTTATTACTCCCCTCCCACACTCTGCAATCCAGCCAGAAAAACCTTCTTTCTGGTTCTCTATCAACACTACATATCCTTTGTCCAGAGAAAGGAGGAATTGGGGGCAACAGTTGTAGATAGCTTTCTTGTGAAGTTGAGCTGCAAAGGGGAAGAAAGACATGTATGATTCCTAGAAGGGATAAGTGGATCAAGTGAGGGTTCTTTAAGAATAAGGGAGACATGGATTTGTTTGTAGGTAGCAGGGAAGGAGCCAATACAAAGGGAAAGATTGAGGATAAGATTGTGGACTTGATTCTAGGGACAATCTATTGTTATTGTTGTTGTTTGCCCTTCTTTCTTGAAGAGGACCATGACATCAGGAAGATAATGATATCACTCACAAGTGAATTGGATTTAAGTGAAGAAAGGCTGTGCAAAGTCACTAGCCTCACTTTATTCTCTAGAGCCATCTGGGTCCAGTGGCAAGATATAGATTAGGATGACTGGAGGTGGTGGTGGATGCAGTGGGAGACCTTGGCTGGCAATCTATTAGAGCAAATGGGAAGGGAAAGCATCAAGTGACCATGTCAAGGGCTTGCCTTTTCAAGCGGAAGCTATGCTGCACCTTCAGTAGAGATTGGAAGGAAGAATGAGGTAGAGAGGAAAGATATCTGAGTGATGTGAGATGAGGAGGAGATGAAAAGGGGAGTTATCCATGAATGTCATCCATTTTTTTCCAGTGAGATATGAAGTGTTGTCCTCAGCTGAGAAGATGGGAGACAGAAGGCATGGGAGGCTTGAGGGTAGAAGAGAAGGTTTTGAATAGCTGTTGTGGTAAGATGGGTAATAAATAGAGAAGAGTAGATTTCTTTGCTTCAACGAGAGACAAGTTGAGATGGCATAAATTTATGGTGGACTCAGTCAGCAGAGTTCCATGATTTCCTCTAGCTCCATACATTAGCTCATAAGTGGGAGCAGATGGTGGGAATAATTAAGGATTGGGGTTTGGTAAGATATGATCAATAATGGGAAAATAGAGCTAAGGGTTTGGTTACAGAGGATAGTACAGATTTTAACTGTTTCATCAGTGGGTCAGATTGGGAAGGAAGGAGAAAGAAGCCAGAGCACAGGTGACTGCCTGGGTCAGTCTGAGGGTTGGAGATTTAGTATCATGAAGAGGAAGCAACGTAGCTTTAGCAGGCATATGGAATAGAGTGACTATGAGTATTCAGTATGACAATATCTATTGTAAAGTTTTTTTCTTGATTTTTTACAATCAATGTTATTATGCTCACGTATTTGTGGGCAATAGTTACATCTATGGCAATGCTGCAGTCCTCCTGTGGTTTATTTGTTAAAACTGTCAAGTATATTTTCAAGTCTCTATCTGTAGTATAGGAATTTGTCATCCATTAATTTATGAAAGTGAGTAAGCTTCTGATACGTTATTCTAGCGATCTGGTTGTGTTTCAGCCTGCCTATGTGTGTTCTCGACTGGCAGATTGTTATTTTCCTCCTTGAGTTCACTTTTGAAACTAATGCTACTCATTTCAGATCAGAATCTCTGTGTGCTCTTGAACCCAAAGGTGAAAGTATATCTCCTCATCTTCTTACTGAGCAGCTTCCCTGATGCTACTTTCTTGGAGCCTGGGGAAATACTTCTCTTCTGCTGGGAATTGTTCTTGGGAGCACCCTCAATTTGGAAAGTAAAGGGAGGCTAATCTAAGCTGAGGAAATGGTTGGTGTGCCAATGCTATATGAACTACCTATATCTATATCTATTTATGTGTATATCTCTATCTATCTATCTATCTATCTATCTATCTATCTATCTATCTATCTATCTATCTATCCACAGCTGGGACAATGACACATCCTATTTGTAAGATTTGTTTCAGTCATGTCTGACTATTCATGATCCCATTTGGGGTTTTCTTGGCAAAGATACTGGAGTGCTTTGCCATTTCCTTCTCCAGCTCATTTTACAGATGAGGAAACTGAGGCAAACAGGGTGAAGTGATTTGCCCAGGATCATATAACTAGTAAGTGTCTGAGACCGAATTTGAACTCAGGTTTTCCTGACTCCAGGCCTGGTATGCTATGTACTACATCACCTAGTTGCCCTCCAAAGGGCTATACTTTCATATTCATGTGGAAGTAGATAAGGGCAAAATATCTGAACCTATTTTTCCCTCTTCTCATTCCTTTACTTTACCTAGAGTAGCACCTTAGTACCCTAAACAACAAGATCAAAGAGGAGGAGAAGGAGGAGGAGGAGAAGAATGAGGAGGAAAAGAAGGAGGAGGGGGGAGGGGGGAAGAAGGGAGGAGGGGAGAGGGTAGAAGGGGGGAGGAGGGGAGAGGAGGAGGGGGGAGGAGAAGAAGAAGAAGAAACATTGTAAAGAAACATACTTGTTATTGTATGAATGTCACATAGACATTTCATCTTGGCTCTTACATATCTATGCTCTTACATATCTATCCTCCAACATGCATTCAGACTGCATTTTGACTTGGCTAATCCCTTTGCACATTCACCCCTTGATCCCTAAGTTCTATCCCTAAGTATGAAATTGACTCTAACCTGCAGCTAAGTATATTTTGTTTGTCTGAAAATAGACAAGTTGCTGCTTCCTCATCTAACTTCCCGGCCCTTCTAGGCTATTAATAGAGAGAGTATTGCATTGTAGATAGAGGACTGATCTTGAAGCCAGAAAGACCTAGGTTCAAACCTAGTTTCTGATGAATACTGGCTGTGTGACCCTGGCCAAATCATGATATAGGCAACTCTTTAAAAATCAGAAGGAGGGGCAGCTAGGTGGCGCAGTAAATAGAGTGCTGGCCCTGAAGTCAGGAGGACCTGGGTTCAAATGCGGCCTCAGACCAAACACTTGACACTTACTAGCTGTGTGACCCTGGGCAAGTCACTTACCCCCAGTTGCCTTAAAAAAAAATCAGAAGGGACTGATCTTCATTGGTAGAGAGAGTTTCTTCACCTGGAAGTTTCCTCTACCAATATCCCAGCAGCAGTATCAAAGATGAGATTGAAACCCAAGTTTTTGTGCCTCTGAGAATCTAGCACTGTATTTGCCACTCTATAATGCCTTTCCTAGCATTATAGACACTCCAGCTTGGAGTGTCTTTGCCTTGTGATGGACCATGTGTCTGTTTTTGCAGGACCAAACTAGTTCATCACTTAAGATCAACCAGTAGGTAATGGATTTGTTTGGTCTACAGAATCTCATGAAGATCACCTCCTAAGATGTGGCAGGGTTTCAATCAATATTTGAGAAAGGTGTGCCTACTTCATTGAATCATCTTGATGTCATGCCTATACTCTTCTGATAGATAATTCCTATAACTTTAATGAAAAAGGGCACTTCCTGAATGGTGGATGTACTCAGTGTTACAGAGCTAATACATTGAACAAATCAGTTTCAGAAGTAAGGGACTGATCTGTAACTTTTCAGGAGGAATATGTCAACAATGCTGTGAGAATGATGCCCCTCAAGGTACTAAGGCAGAAAAAGACGGGGATGGCGTCTCATATAGTGTTCCAGATTCCCTGAGGACGTATGACTGTGCTGCCTGGGATATGGGGAATGTATTCTTATACCAGGGGTTGAACTAGTATAGGTATTTATGAAAAGCAGAGTGAAGTGAGCTAATATAGGATGGATTACATGATGGTGAATGGAGAGTGTGTAGTCAGAGAGGCGAAAAAGAATGGAAGAATGGCCAGCAGAGGCAATGGTGTCATTTGGCCTCCTGAGGTTTTTTCCCCTTGTTTTCGTTGCAATAAGAACGTAGCATGTTTTTTGTTTTGTTTTGTTTTTTGGGGGGGTCTGTGTCAAATGAAATGTAAATTCCTTGAAGACAGGGACTTTTACAAAAATATTATGTCTTTGAATCTCCAACACCTGGCACAGTGCCTTGACTATAGTAAGCACTTAATAAATGCTTGTGTAAGGAGTATGCTACCCATGTAGGCTATGCATGGGTTTGTCTACATGCAGCTTAAAGGAGTATCAATAGATAGGATCTGAGGTATGCCCATGCCTCTTCAAGGGAGACTGTGACTCCTCCCTTGAGGGGAACAAGAAAAGAACTATGAGGTTGACCACCCTCTTCTCTAGTCTCTGAGAAGGGGTATCGGACTAGAATGGTGTTTATCTGTCCCCCTAAGTATTGCTAGTCTAGGGGAATAATAGATTCAGAAAAAACTCTGTTTTTAAAAGGGGGAAAATAGTCCTTAGCTCATACTCACCAGTTTGATTCCTCACCAAATACTACCTACAAAAAAGACAATTGCAAATATTGAAAATATTGAATAGCATATGAACCCATGTATCCAAACAAATAGCAAAGAGAAATCAGAGACATGATACATATTAGACTATGCCAAAAGAGTGGATGAATTCTCATGCGGGCAGTGGGATATCTCAGCTAAAAGATAGACAGAGACAGAGAGACAGAGAGACAAAGACAGAGAGGGAACTCTCATCTCACCCACAAGAAAATTTCCCAAAGGCTCTAGGGAGGCAAGATAAAAAATGGGGTATGTTGAGGAGCTAGCTTCCCCTACATGTCTGTAGCTTCAAACTTCATTTTTATCTCTCCCCATGTGCCTGGGATTGGACCTGGAGAGAGTCTAGAACTACTCTTGCTTTCCTTTCAAAGGAAAAAATAAAAAGAATGTTTCTCCTCTTCAAAGCTCTCACACCAACTCTTGCCCACAGGCTAAAGTTGCATTAGCAACTTTAATTCACCAATTAGGAGAATCTCTTGCAAAAGGCCCCAGGCTTGGCTAGAAACAGGGTGTTACACTTGTTGAATGGAATTGGATTATGTTGGTCCAAGATCTTGTTTACCTAATGGCTTGTACTTGAAGTTGTTTGAGCATAGAGCTAGGTTTCAGAGCCAGCCTAGAGCCGCCTGCTGGATTTCCCAGCTGAACTTGCTCCACACGGCCCAGATCCCTCCACCAGCCTCCATCTCACCATTACCTTGCCAAAGGCATGGGAAGGGTACACAGAAGTAGGCGCCTCAAGCTGACAGAGTGCAGATTTCCATTCCTGTCATAAGATTCTGGGGATAAAAAAAGAAAGATTTATAGCAACAAGAACATTTCTAGCTGCCCCTAGATTAATCAACTCCCTGCTCATTACATGTGGTTAATTTGTTAGATAAATAAATAGCAAGGTTTTAGACTGATCCCAGGTGTGAACCCAAACCCAGATAGAATCTAAATCACGATTTCTTTTACTGAAACACGAATCAAACCAACCCCCCACGTCCATTAAACAAAACAAACAACCCCCACTTTGTCAACCAGTTTCAATCAAAGTCAAATCAATTTTCTAAAATTGCTGAACCAAAATACTAGCTTTTGTGACTCTGGGCAAGTGATTTAATCTCTCTGAGTCTCCAACAAGTTTCTAAGTCCCACCCACTTAGTTATATGAGTTGTGATATGTTTGAGTAGAGGGAACCAATGGAATCACAGGTCCTTGGGAGTATGGACTGCACAAAGATATCAGGATATACAATAATTCTCAAACCTGAGGTGGTATCTCATACACCCTGGGTGTTGTGGACTATTGTGAGACCTGGGTACCATGTTTTAGGAAGGACATTGACAAAGGGAAGCATGCCCAGAGGAAGACAATTCTCTGGAGAGTGAGGGGTTTGGAAATCCCATCATACAAAGAATTGAAAATGTGTACTCTAGAAAAGATTGAGGGGTGTGTGACTGTTGACTTCAGATGTCAGAAGACCTGTCATGTAAGCTTGGGTTCAGATTTATTCCACTCGGCCCCAGTGCACAGAATTAGGACCAATGGGCAGACTTTACAGGGAGGCAGATTTCAACTAACACACTAACAATTACAGCTGTTCAAAATGGAATGGGCTGCCTTGGGAGGGCGTGAATTGCCCTTTTTCTGAAAGTCTTTAAGCAAAGACAGCAGAGTGTATTGGAAAGATCAGAAGATCTGGGTTTGAAATCCAGCTCCATAGTTTTCTAACCATGAGAATCTGAGCAGTTGCTTCTCTCTGGGTCTCAGTTTCCTCCCCTCTATAATGAGGGAATTTAAACAACGACTTCCATGGTCCCCTAAATTTGCTTCTTTGCAACTTTCGCCAATCACTCGTAGGTTTGCCATCTGGGTCCCTGGAGAACAAAGCTAACCCTTCTTCCACACAGCAATCTTTCGGGTACTTGAAGACCGCAATGGTAACAATGATGGTGGCCCCAGCTCTTCTCTAATCCACTTATAAATACCGCTAGCTACTAGGTGGCTAGGAGGTACAGCGGATAAGAGCTCTGAGCCTTGGAATCAGGAAGTGTGATTTTCCTGAGTTCAAATCTAGTCTCAGGACTTCCTGGCTGTGTGACCTGGAGAAAGTCACTTAACTCTGTTTGCTTCTGAGTCCTCATCTGTAAAATGAGCTGGAGAAGGAAATGGCAAACCACTCCAGTATCTCTGTCAAGAAAACCCCAAATGGGGTCAGAGAGAGTCAGACATGACTGACATGACTGAACGACAACTACTACTTCTACCCTAACCTCAAGTGGTGCAACTTCCAGAAGCATCATCACGCTGGTTGCCTTACTCTCCCTTTGTCAATGGGATATAAGCTACTCAATAGAATGTGAGTTCATTGAAAGCAGGAACTGTTTCATTCTTTGTATTTGTATCCCTAGTCTACAATACAGGGGTCAGCACATGCTTATTGAATGAGTGCTTAATAAATGCTTATTGTTTGATTGTCAATGTCCTTCCCAGAATATAGTGCTAAGGTGGCGCAGTGGATAAAGCTCTGGCCTTGGAGTCAGGAGGACCTGAGTTCAAATCCAGCCTCAGACACTTGACACTTACTAGCTATGTGACCCTGGGCAAGTCACTTAACCCCCACTGCCTCACCAAAAAAACCCAAAACAACAAATTAACAGAATATAGTGCTCAGATGGCCCAATGATGCTGTTTCAACGCTCAATGCTCTCGTTCCTTGTCCTGTCTGGCCCTACCATGCTTTTGTCTTAGATTTGTCCTCTTCCTCAAGGGAAATGGTAAAAAAAAAAAAATCTTAGTATCAAATGGGAAAAAAAACCCCAACCTTTTCAAATCAAATAAAAATTATGGGAAAAAATCTTTGTATTAAATTTCTTTGATAAGGGTTTGGTATCCAAGACACACACACATAGGCACACACTTGTGTATGTGTATTTTATGTGTGTGTATGTGTATATATATATATATATATATATACATATATATATAAATGTATATATATATATGAACATATATAACAAATATGACCAATAGGCATTCCTCAATAAATAAGTGATCAAAAGATAAGAACTATAAATCAGTAAATGTTTATTAAGCTCCTACTATGTGCCAGGCTCTGTGCTAAGTGCTGGGGATACAAAAAATGGCTCCTGCCCTCAAGGAGCCAATAAGAGAATCACCAATAAGAGAAATACAAATCAAAACAACCCTGAGGTTTCACTTCACATCCTTCAAATTGGCAGAAATGATAAAAAATGATAACAGTCAATGTTGGATAGGTTGTGGGACAGTAGGCATACTAATACATTGTTGGTGGAGCTGTGAAATGGGACAGCCAATTTGGAATTATGGAAATAAAGTGGCTAAAAATGTCCATAACCTTTGAATCAGAGACTCCATTACTTGTATGTATACCCCAAGGAAGCCAATGAAAAGTCCCCACATTCACCAAAACATTTATAGCAGGACTGTTTGTGAAAGTGAAGAATTGGAAACAAAGTAGATTTTCATTGACTGGGGAATGGCTAATCAAATTGTGGTACACGAATGTAATGGAATATTACTGGGCTGTAAGAAATTATGTGTTTGATGAAAACAAAGAAGCCTAGAAAGATCTATATGGACCTATGCAGAGTGACTAAAACAATATAAATGGAAAGATGGAACACAAACACACAGACGCACACGCACACACAAATGAAAAGTAAAGGGAACAAAATTGCAAAGATCTAGCATGACTCAAATAAAGAAATACAAGAAGACTCCCCCAACTTACCCCCTTTATAAAGGTAGGAGCTCTACAAGTGTTGAACATCGCAATTATTTGGGGGCTTTTTCAATGTATTGATCAGTTGTGCCGATTTTTTCCCCTTGTTTTCTTTTTGTCATAAAAATATGATTTTTATATGGGATGCCTCTCTGGGAAGGAGAAGGATACTGGGGAAAACTATAATGACATAAGAAAAAAGATATCAATAAAAACTATGTAAAACAAATCAGATTCCCCCTTATTGGGAGGAGTTAAAACAACACCAAAATGTATGAACACTATTACAATTAGTAAGGGCAGAACTGACTTTTTGATACCATAAGAATAATAGCTGGCATTTACTGGTTAGTCATGTCTGACTCTTTATGACGCCATTTGGGGTTTTCTTGGCAAAGATACTGGGGCAGTTTGCTATTTCCTTCTCCAGCTCATTTTACAGAAACTGAGGCAAACAGGATGAAGTGACTTACCCAGGATCACGCAGCTAGTAAGTGTTTGAGGCCAGATTTGAACTCAGGGAGCTGAATCTTCCTGACTCCAGGCTGGGCTGTCTATCTGCTGTACCACCTAGCTGCCCTAGCTGGTATATATATATATATATATATATTGCTCTAAGGTTTGCAAAGCACTTTGCATATGAAATCTCAGTTCCTCAAAAAATCCCTGTGAGGTAGGTGCTATTATTATTCTCATTTTATAGATGAAGGAATTGAGATAGGGAATCTAAGTGATCTGTTCAGAGTCACACAGAAAGTGTCTGAGGCAGGATTCAAACTCATATCTTCTTGATTCCAAGTCAGGCACTGTGTCCACTATGGCACTTATCTGCCCATCCATAACCATGTTACAACTGGCATATAGAACCTATTCTCATCAGAAACACTAGTTTCTAATAGGGGTGGAGGAGGGTGGAATACGGAGTAAAAGTCATCTTCCCTGATTGCTCAAATTAATGCTAAAGCAAGAAAGTGGTCACCATAGGATGTAGGCAATGACTCAGGGCAGGTTGCCAGTGAAGAGACGGTGCTTGGCAGGCGGCAGTCCTGATGATGAAGAGTTTCTCTGTGCCGATAGAAGAAGTCAGAACAGATCAAAATGCAGCCACCTATTGATTAATCCTCTTTGTAGCGGGCATGGCTTTTTATTAAAGAAAGCAGATATTCAATAGTGTTAACTAGTAATGGGAATTGACTTTTCGCTAATTGCACAGACCTTGGCACTAATACACTTTAATGGAAACTGGGACCTGTGTCCTTCAGATTACTCCTCAAGTTTTTTTGTACCTCTTCCTGGTCAAAGAACATCAAAAACATTGTAGCCAAGTGAGATTTCTGCCTTTAAACACACACACACACACACACACACACACACACATATGTGTGTGTGCGTGTATGTATGTATGTATGTATGTGTGTGTGTATATATACACACACACACACACACATATGGAATTAATATGATAAAGACTTTTCCTGAAAGGAGAAAAAAAAGAATTAGAAAGGAATTTACTTTGGGGTTCATTTTTTCCTTCACCAAACATTTATTATATACCTACTATATGCAAAGTACTTTGGATATAATTATATAAACAACCAAAACACTCCCTGTTTACAGGGAGCTTAGATGCTACTGTTAGTAGTTAAAGAAAAGGGGGCAGCTAGGTGGCAAAGTGGATAGAGCACTGGCCCTGGAGTCAGGAGGACCTGAGTTCAAATGCTGCCTTATATACTTGACATTTACTAGCTGTGTGACCCTAGGCAAGTCACTTAACCCCATTACTTACCTGGGGAAAAACAAAAAAGATCGAGGCTCTGTGGACTGAACAAATTGAGGATTATGGGGTCTTAGATTAAGAGTGAGAGTCATTCAATACTGGCTGGTATTACCTATAGTCCTGTAGGTAATAAGGGCAGTTCTATCATTTGAACCTAGGTCCTCTGACTCTGTACTTCTTTTCACTGTCTCTCAGCACGATTAGCGCAAGGTGACTGTGGCTGGGGATCCTGATGAATATTCCCAGCCTA